TATATATATATATATATATATTTTAAACAACTAATGATAGGAAATAAACTGTAAAAAGGTTTTACATAAAAATATCTCTTTACCTTTTTTATAGTTAAATGTTTCTTTTTTAAAAAGTACCATGACCTGAAGCTCTTGGTTACCTATACAAGCCTGTTGCTTGGTTACAAATCATTTAATATCTTTAAAGGATGTAAACAGTAGGTTTCCTGGTGTCATTGACATGAGACACAATTCCATGTAAACATCTTCATCTCCTGTTATGCCACCCAATGTTGTTTTATTTATGATACTATAATTGAGAAATTCATGACTGCTTCTTGTCATTGTCAAACAGATACATTTTTCTGCATTGGATCTTGGCTTACAGGGTTGGACACACATGTAGCCTGATCCCATAACTGTAACTCTCCGGAGTCCCAATTAAGTCAGTGAGAGATAACCATGTGAATAAGGGCTGCTGTCTTCATGATTAAGGACCTGGAAAATGAATGCTTAGTAGTGATTCAAGCAGAATGAGAAATGACAAGAGATTCTCAGAACAATGAATCAGAATCTTGCAGCGTTATGTGTTGCATTCGTGTGTAGAAGGGGTAGCTGAAATGGCTTAGGAAAAACAAAACACAGATCAGGCTAAAACTTCTAGTTTTGAGAAATAAACTTGAGTCCTCCTTTAAATTGCTGAATAAAGTCTGACATCTATCCATATTTCAGGGTTTCAGTAGACTGGAAGCAACAGGTTGTTTTGATGGCTAATATAATGTGGCATCCACAACAAAAAACATTTACATAAGGAAGCCATTTACTCTTGTTATAAGACACAACCCATACTGATTCCAGTCTTCAGTCATTTTGGGGGTTATGTATCCACTATTTGTACTGCAGGGACAAAGATGACAAAGATTGTAATTCTGTGCCCAACAAACTGATGGAAATAAATAAGCCTGTAAACAACAACACAGCACAAGTATGGGGGCTCAGAAAAGAAAAGAGAAGAAAATAGGCTGACAAGCATGCACTTAAATGAATAAATCGGTCTGTATAATAAAACAATCACCTTCTCTGATTCTTGTTCATAATTCTAATCAAATGAGAACTAAAGGTTTTGAATGAATTGAAAAACACGTGGCTAAATTTTGAAAAGACCCAGAACTTTCGCAGTCTTGGCTCTTCTAGCTTCCAGATGGAAATGCAAAAAGATGGGTTGAAATACCAAGAGTGAAGCCATTTGTTTTAGTGTGGGAAGCAGTGGGTGTGTCTACACATGTGCATTAATGTTCTACTGCTCATCAAAGTGTCACATCAAAAGCAGTGCTAACATGCTAAAGAGCAGTAGAAATAAGCTACTGTGCATTAAGTGTCACTAAAAAGGCATGTGCGTTGGCTATTGTGCATTAGGGCAGCCTAATGTGCATTTATGTAGTACCTCATATTAGAGGGTGCCTGTACTCAAGCCTGGAGGCTGCTCCAGCATGCTGTAACTAGATCATCGAGTTTGCTGGAGCATGTTAATTACCAAGCTCCAGCCAGCCTCCACATCTTGTGCCTCAGTGTCCCTGTTCAATGAACTTTAGATAAAGCTCCCCTGATGCCATTTGGAAGGGCAAGGATGCTGATACATGAAGACCCTCTGGGCGCTTTAATTAAAGCAGTTCTCAGACCCACTCTTATTAAAGCGCCCCCCTCCCCACTCCCAGAGCATGTGTAAAAATGCTCAAAGGTACTATACTTTATTCACAGAAGCAAAAGCATATTAATGCATGTGTAGACATACCCACTGAGTTCTGTTCAGATTTGGTTCAGATTCTGTTTCTGTCATTTATTTAAGATCATTTGGTCCATCTGTAAAATGCTAAAATTGGTCCATTTTCTGCAAAGTGTTTTGAGATCTGTGAATGAACATTGCTGTACAAGTGTCACATATTATTACTGCTGGATCAATTATAATTAGAATCAGAAATTCCCATGCAAACAAGCTGTGACTAGACTCCCAGTCTGTGTTTTTGTAACATTTTAGATATTTTAAATATGCTTCAGCTAAGTCTTTGAATTCTAGTGTTTACTTGAACATCACTTTTGAAACCTGAAAGGTTTGTCCATCACCAAAATAAGATATTTATATTTACAAGGGTTTTATTTTTAGTGAAGAAAAATGTAACACAAAAAGGTGTGTGTGTGTGTGTGTGTGTGTGTGTGTGAGGGGTTATCTGTGAAATCTCATGTCAAACATTGTGAAAACTAGCATAGTTAATGTAACATCTGTACTTGCTGCTTTCTACTTTTGCTCTGGAGCAGGAGCTGAAGGGAGTAGAATAAATATTGGGCCAAATCCTGATCTTTCTCAATGGGATTTTGCCATTGACTTCATTGAGATCTGGATTAATTTCAGTGTTCCATTTGTATCGAGCAGACTTCAGTAGAGGAAGAACTTTTGCTCACATGGGAAAGTTTGCTGTACAAAACCATTTGAAAAATAAACAACTATGTAATCATTTGGCAGTCTTGCTCACAATGAAGTAGACCACCCTTGGAGGTCAGGAAAAGGAACTGAAGCAACCAGTTAAACCAAAAGTCCAACTTAACTTTTATCTTGCCTCTTGAGAGTAGCCAATAGGAAATGCTCTAGAGGAAGGTGTAAAATCTGATATAATTTAAAATTTTAAATGATTCATACTTATAAAGAGAGAAGTTTTTCCTAATCCCAGGGACTTAATGGTTGGCTTATGGCCTGATGCATGAGTGTTGCTTACTTCACCTTTACTAATATAACTGCAGATATTTTTTCTTATTTATGTCTAAAGTTTTTTTTTTTGGAATGCTTCTTCTTGGCCTGAGTAAAATCTAATAGTGAATTCTATGGGTCAATGTATACATGTTATAAGATCTTAATATCCTCTTACCATTTTAAAATAGCCTTTCCATTTTATTTAATGCCCTTTTTCTTGAGTGTTCAGAGAGGGTAAATAACATATGCCTTTATCACATCACTTATTATTTCCTTTTCAAACCAAATTGTGGTGTATAATTGTTATATATAGTCAAAGGAGATCATTTCTCTGTTTTCCTGTGTGCGAGTATGTGTGGCTGTGTGAGGATTGCTTTATACATACTACATTCTGAAATGAAGAGGAGTCTCCCTCTCTGCTGAATGGTACAGATTTATGGCAGCTGCCATCTTGTATTTTAATACAAGTGCAGGATATTACGGAGAGTGCCACAGTATGCTCGTTTCTTCTTAGAGACCATGTTTCTTCTTTTAATCTTTTGTATTTCTTAATCTCAAATAAATAATCTAAACTGAAAAAAAATCCATGTTTTGGTTTTTGTGCTTGGGAACATATGGACACCAAATGGATTAGGCCTGTAGTCAATCAAATCCTTGTACTATATCTGAGAGTACAGATGGTATAATGCTATGTCCTTCAGAGAAAGATGACCACCTCTCTCCCCAAACCTCACCAAACCAAACCAAAATGCCCTCACATTAGGCTGTTGTGGAATAGTCTGTCCCTCAAATCTGCACCCAAATTTCTTCCTAATAACTATCCTGCCATATTGGTAGATATTTTATGTTGGACCCATGCCTAAATATTACCTTTCAGTTTTCAGTGGGCTGATTTGAAGCAGTTTTCCTACTTCTGTGAGAAGAAGAAAACAATTCAACTGTGCCATAGGTATAACTCTGTTCTCTCCAGATGCCCTTTTTCCTTAGGATTTTTCTCTGGGCTTCTTTGACAACATTGGCTAGCTTGCTTAGGAAGAGAAACTGAGGTATTAATTGTATTAGGACCATAATGTATATATTTCCCACATCACTGGGCAGATCTAATAAGATGCTTTATTTGAGATTAGAGCTACTTACTGCGCAGTGGGCATGTCTACTTAAGATGCTACATAACCATAGTGATGAGCTACATTGCCATAGCTTGCTGCTACAACATAGCATCACCAGGCATGAACTGTCATGCTGACACTACTGTATAGGAGTTGCTAAAAATAGTCACGTGGCATCAGGACTGCTCAGTAGTGCTGGTTACTGCACAGTCATTTAGTACTTGTTTAAGTCAGGCTTAAGCTTAAGTAAGTACTAAATGACTGCACAGTAACAACTGCACAGATGCTTACTGGATAGTATTTTGCTCTAATTGAAAGTAAATCTGCTACCTGTAAATACAAGTAGCAAATTTACTCTTGATTACTTACAGTGCAGTACTACATGTGTAGACACCTTACTGGGAACAAATGTGCTCCTGGTTAGCCAGGCAGCAGGGGGTGGGAAATTGCTCCATACCTCTGGGAGCTGTCTGCTGCCGGGGTGGGTTCCACCACTGGAGCTCGGATGGGGCTATGTCCCCCAACCACAGCAGCAGGGACCTCCAAGCCCCTGCTTCATGACTGGGGGCTGGGGACTGGGAGATCCTCATCTCCCAGCCAGGGCCCTGTGACTGTGGGATTCGGGCTGGAAAATAAGGATCTCCCAGCCCCAGCCTTGTGATCATGGAGTGGGGTCCGGGAGGAAATTGTCCTCACCCAGCCTCTGGTGGCTGGCAGCTCCTGGGGGCAAGGAGCAATGTCCCAGCTCCCTCATCAGACAGCTGTCTCCTGGTCCTGTGCAACTTGTCAACCCCTGTGCCAGCACCCAGGGGGAGACTAGAGCTCCCCCTGGCTGCTCCAAGGGCCTGGTCCAGGGCTGCAGGGAGTGGGAGCAGTCTGGTGCTACAAGCATCAGATCTGCTCCTGCTTTCCTGCATGTATAGACATGTGCCAAGGAGAGTTTACTGTAGAGTATTTTAGAGTAAATTGATCCCGGATTATTTGAATGTGTAGATACATCCACTGTGTTGGAATTACCACCAAGGCCAGGAAATATTTTCTAGTTCTTTCAAAATGTGCTTTGGCTTTTAGTTATTCCTTTGTTTTTGACAAAGAAGAAGTGAGCATCAGCCCACAAAAGCTATATGGTGCAAATCTACTCTGCTTTCTTCAAGCTTAAACTATACTACACTTTTTAACCAACACACTATCACTCATAATCTTCTATTCAGACACTTGTGTATTCCCTACCACTGTGATATCTAGATACAGAGAAGACAAGTTTAGAAGCAAGCTGATCCTTTTCAAGCATATGCCAAGAATTCTTGGACTCTTGCCTGTATCACTGAACCCATCAGTGTTGAGAGACTGGAGGTGCAAATTACTTTTTCAGTGGTGTCAAACTGACCCTGTGGGGCAGATGCAGGTCTGTGGGCTGATCCACTTTGTAGATGTGGACTAGCCTTGTAGCCAATGTGCAAGGCCAGTCTGGCAGGATGCTGTGTGCAGCATCTGCCTCTTGCTGGCCTCCTGTGCCAGCCCTTGTGCCATGTGGGTCCAAGACCTATGGACTGGATTATACAGCTGTACAAGCCAGATCTATGTTTGAAAACCTGATTTTAAGGCTTAGTAGCAGCTGTAACAAGATATCTGGGAAACTGTTTACAATAATTTAGAGTATGAAGTCATAGGGTGTATCTGCATGTGTGCTTTACTGTGGAGTTGACTAATTAGCTCTGCAGTAAAGTGTCACAGTCTACATGCATGCCAGTATTAGGGGGCAGTAAATTAAATAACTCAGTTATGGGATGGTACTGTGCATGATAGCACTATCCTACAGCAAAGTAGTTACATGCACTGCAAAACACTTGTAGACTGTGACAGGGGCTAGCTGGTACATGATGGTGCTGGAGTACAGGGGTGGCCTGCCAAATAACCCTGCACCATAGCACCCTCATGGCCCAGCCAGCCCCTCTGCTGCCTGACACTGCCCCCTGGAGCCTGAGGCTGACCCCCCAGACCCTCTGTCAGCCTAGGACTACTCTGCCTTGGCTCAAATTGCTGCAGTCCTGGATGCATGTGTAAATGCTGAGCCTGGGAACAGTTTTCTCCAGCACAAATTGTGCCAGAGTTTATTGCTTCCAATTAATTGCTCATTTAGATGCACCCCTTGAATAGCCTTCAGTAGATTTAGTCTCAAAACTCCCTTTGTGAGGCAGCTTCCTCTCAAATGATACTGACAGAAAGAAAAAAATGGCACAATGGCAGCCAGAATCATAAGGCACAATCATATTCCGATATGGACATATTGACCAAATACCCTTTTCAAGTGTATGAAGAAAATGAAATATTTTCCTTATCTGAGAACTGCTGTTCTTTAAGATGCTTGTCTTGAAAGTACTTCCATTTCAAGTAAAAGTCAGAGCTAATCCCATCTCTTAACAAGGTGCTGAATGTAATTGCAACTCCTGATTCTCTGCTTTAACAGTTTTTAAACAGGTATTGGCATTAAAAGTGGCGGAGGCAGGAGAAAAATCTACTGTGAATTAAATAATGGTTCTTACAAAGGAGCACAACAGACTCAGAATGGTTTGTGTAACTCAAAATGCAAAAGGGGAAATATTCTAGAATGCAACATTCATCCATTTATTTAAAAAGGTAGGAAGCAAATGTTGTATATTCTGACTGTGATTATTTATTTTAATAAAAATAGTATAAATATGTGGTAGGCAAGTAGAAGTTCCAGGAAGGACTGCTGAAGAGACAGGAAAGATACAGAAATAGAAGAGGAGGGTTTTTTTTCTCTGCTTTTTAATGGAAAAAAGAAAAATCAGGAGGACAGTCAGTTTTTATTCAAAATTTCTCATTTCTATAGCAAAACAGGGTTCAAATCTACCTTATTGGGAAATTTTATCTATTATAAATGGTAGATATTTTAAGAGTGCTGATTACAGCAACCTAAATCTTTCAAGGGAGCTAGATTTTTTATCTTTATTTAGGTGTTATTTATACTTTTCCAGTTTGTCTTAAGTGTATTAAAACATTCTATCAAAAAAATAAATTATACTCTCAGGCATGATTGCATATGCTTTCTTTATTGCAATAATGTTTGTAGTCTAATATTTACATCCTATTAGACTTTTTAATTAAGTCAAAAACAGAAGGCCTTCTGCATTTATGGCCAAGAGGGCTGAATTTCTCCTCTCTCTTTAGATGTTATATACCCCCCATCACTGAGGACTGGAATTTCTCTCAGTTGTTCATTTATTAATTTTTACAATGTCTCTGAGGTATGAAAATACTACTATCCCCATTGTACCAATGGGAATTGCAACTGATTGGGCATGTCTACATGTGCCCCCGACTGTGCAGTAACTGCTAGTACTGCATGTTTCTGGCACCGCATGAGTTGTTTCTGACCCTACTGCATGGTAGCATTTGTGACATGATGTATGAACTGGTTTGTGCCGTGATGCAGCATCTCATGTAGCCACACCCACTAAGTCTAAACCACAGGACAACTGTGGTTGAGCAGGAACCAAACATGGATCTTCTGAATTTATGACTGACAGTTTACCCCAAAAGCATCCATTTCAAAGTAAATAGCCAAAAGTCACCCATTTGAGTAATATGAAAGCTTTATTTCTTGCCTTTTTTTGAAAAATAAGTTGCAGATAGATATTTTAATCTGAAAATGTATTTTATTTGAACACTTTTCTGTTTTGTAATTTCCACCTTTATAGTCTACTTCTTCATTCAAAAACAGAGGCCTCTTATCCTATGACAAAAGAAAAAAAATTGGTTCCATTCTTCCAACTACTCCATTAACTTAACAAAAGCAGGAGAATAATAATACTTATTATTACATATAATAAAAATAAAGTGTTACACTATATTATATGATTATTAATATACATTGTATGGATACAGAATAATTTATTTGGAAGACATTTTAAAATCTATTAAAGTCTTTGGTAAATAATATTCATTCAGCTACAGTGATACTGATACTAGTTAATTTATTCACTTTTCTGGCAATAATCTCCACTGTTATGCCATTGTTGTAAAATATTCCTGTAATTTTTATAATAGTAATGGATTTGATATGTAAAAGCACTAAATCCAATCTTTTATTCTCTGTTTTGAGAAATATCCTGTTCCTTCCTCAATGGGCATCAAGGGTTTCTTGACAATAAAGGAGATAATTTTTTGTGGCGAAGGGGGAAACACGGCACTGTTCACATGATAAGGAGATCAGTTTCATTAATGCTTCCTTGAGCTTGCTGCCTATACATATGCTGGGTGGGGGGCATTTTAATTAGAGCAGCTCTTAGAAGTCACTTTAATTAAAATGTCTGCAGTGTCTCTTGCATTCAGCATCCTGTGTTTCAAAATGGTGGCAGCAGTCCTTTAACTACAGCTTGTTCAATAAGCTTTAGTTAAAGTGTCCCTGCTGACATTTTGAAATGTGGGATGTTGAATACATGAGACACTG